CTCTCTCTCTCTCTCTCTCTCTCGAATTAGCAATATATTTGTGTTTTGCAATGGCTTTTCATAATGCAATTCTACGAAACGAAATAATAACTTAATTTAAAGTATTTATTAATTCAGAAAGCGTTCCCAAAACTGATTGTAACCTTATTTTTCAATAACTCTGAGACTATTCTCTCAATTATATGATTAATGTTTTTGTATTTCAATAAATAAAACAATTATAGAAACAATAATTATTTAATTAAAATTTGTTTTTATAATAAAAATATAAGGATTACAAGCGATCGTAAAAAAGACATTAAATTTTCTATTGAGAAGAAATATGATTATTAAATGGATTTAGGATTTATGTAGAAAATGAACTTGCACATTTATATATTTATTGTCTTTTTTACAACACTACATATAATATAGAATTATAATTGAAGTTATTTTGTATTTTAGTTTTAATTAAAATAAATAAAACTAATTCATTGAATAAAAATACAGAACAATTTAAAGTTTTAATAATTGTTTACAAATTACTGATTTTCGAAAGAAATGTTGTTTGAATTTGTCAAACATTTGATAAGATTATGTATACCTTTAAACATATGTTACATTTAAACGATTAATAATTTTATGCCATTTTATAAATTAATATGATTTAATGAATGCGCAAACTATTTATATATTTAGATATTGAATGCACTTCTTGTCAAAACATGAATCGATCAATTGGTTTGAGTTATTTGTAGTTTTGGTTTTATTGATGTTCTTCCTATTATAGTAAACACAATATCAGATAAGATAACAAATTATAGTTATTTGTAAAACTAATAAATGTTTGACAAAAATCATTTCAATGCATTGTTGAGTAAATTAATTTCCAACAAATGTTCAAAACAAACAATGAATTTATGAATTATTATTACAATATTTTGTAAATCCAAATATACTCCAAAGCTTTTTATGTGACTTTCTCTCAATGGCTATAACTCTTCACAATTTATCCGAAACCATATATAATGAGGAAATTATTTAGTCGTTCGCTGAAATGCGTGGGAATACAAGTCTTGTGGAAATGCTATTAAACGCTGCTTTAGATTAAAATGTTTGACTAATTTATTGCAAAATGTTTTAATTTACATTAATTTCATAAAAAATTTGTTGTTTATAACGATATTGTTTTGTTTTTGTCGGATAGGATGCAAAATGGAAACTTCATTACAAATACAGATAATACCGATAATAACGACAATGAAATTATTACTCGATCACCAAAACACTGTTGGTTTCCAGACGACCAACAAATGGCACCAAATATGGAGAGAATAGATAAGAATACGTTTAAAGTCTTTCTGACGAACGGTAACTACAATGTGGTGAAGAGCGGAGACGTGACTGATGTCCGCGGAATCATAACTTTGATTACTAGTCGATTGTCGTCCGATTTGAGCAAAAGGTTTTACGAGAGCGCGTATGGCCTTAGAATTGCCCGAATCGGCGGCAGTAGTGATGAACACATTTGGTTACATCCGGACACAGCCATGAATGAGGCCCTCGACCGCCACCAGAACCTGTTGGACGCCGACTGGAGGTAACGATACACTCATTTATATAATGGCATGCGTTTTGCAAAACACACCGTTTGATTAGCGAACTCGTGATCCACTCGTTATTATTGTAATTACTAATTAGTGTCAAAAATGCTTATCATTTATCAGTTTATTTGCAAATATTTCTCTTATAATTACCGAAAAGAAATAAATATAAATTAAAACACAGTTTCATGTGATTGTAAACCTCATTCACGCGACACTTAGTTTTGCAAATAAATTAGCAGATAATCTGTTTCACTGAACTTTCATTGCCTTAATTTTGCGTAAAATACAAACAAACAAAAACTTGAATTTCATTGCATTTGAAATTAAATAAGTGTAGAAATAATTTGATAAATGTTTTGATACCTTTGTTTAAATGCATGTTTCAAAGAAATTGAGTTCAAGTTTAGCTAATGGTTAACGTTTTAATTCAATTACATATTATTAAGCGATTTATCTGAAAAACTTGTTGTTTTCTTATGACCCGTTTTTATCACAAACAGATATGAATTGAGAATAAGATATATTCCGTCGACTTTAAGTGATATTCTGGCGAAAGACAGGTTCTCTTTCCACTACTTCTATGACCAGGTATGACACAAATGATAATCATATCATTAATGCATTTATGAAATTTAATTAAATTATAACAAATGCCTATTCCTTTGTCTTGTATTCAATAATTATTAGGTTAAAAACGATTACTTAAAGACAGAGCTGCCCATCGATCAGGATCTGGCCATTCAGTTGTGTTGTCTGGAGATTAAATGCTTCTTCAAAGACATTACACAATTCGCTTTGGATAAGAAGTCCAACTTTGAATACCTTGAGAAAGACATAGGACTACACAAATTTCTCCCCTCACACGTCCTCTCATCCATTAAGGTTTGTATTCATTGATTGGCATTTATATGGTCTATATTTCGTGTGTTTGTATTTTATAATTCATTTGCATTTTTTGCATTAATTATCGGTTTATCACGAAATGCGTGAAAAATAAAGCAAATAATACATTAATTGATTGATATTTGTATTTAAATCTATAGCACAAGACATTACGCAAAACAATTCAATCGCAATTCAAGAAGGTTTCCGCATTGAGTGAAACCGATTGTATGATTAGATTCTTTGATTTGGTTTTGCCTTTTGTTAATTTTAAAGAAGAGAAGTTCATGTGTGCGTTAGGGGTAAGCGTTCGCTCACATACACGGCTATCAAAGCTGTCAATCTATTAATTGTATTCATTGATTATGTATTGATTGACACGATTGGCAGACGGGATGGAGTATTCCCGTTCAGTTAGTCATTGGCTGTGATATTGGTATCGGTTATGTCACTGACAGGACAGGACCGGTATGTGATCCTCCGTTTAACATCTCTGAGTACGTGTGTGTAAACTAATGTCTTATTTTCATTGCCATGTATTGACTTAAAGCCCACACAAATGGCACGATTCCAAAGCGTCCAAAGCATTCACATCAACACTAATGTCAACGAAAGCAATGCAAACAACTCTGTCGTTAATCCTTTAAACCAATCAAATAAATCAGTGCTTCAGTTAAAAATTGCCGGCGCGTCAGAAGTGTTGGCCATTTCCTGTCCCTCAAACACTGTCGCCGAGAATATCGCGAATCTAATCGACGGTTACTGTCGTATAGTTAATAATACAGACGATTCGTTTTGGATCCGAAAAGGTATTGATTTGAATTGTGATTTGATATAATTGTTATCCGCATATACTCTACACTAATCGCCTGAATCAATATAAAAATAACGAAATCTATAAATATTTCATTACTAACAATTTTTTAAAACTTAATCTTTGCTATTATTGTTTGCATTAACTAAATGTAAACTTTCAAAATAAAATTTATTGCTTGTATTTCTCTTTACAAGTCTTTACCACTAAATGGAAGTGCAATTGCAATGATTGCCCAAAAGGTGATGTCGTCTTTGCGTTACTCTGTTTTTACTTCTTTTTGCTTTGAAAATATTTGTTTTAAAACGTGTTTTCTTTAATGAGTGGAAATTAATGTTTTCTATCGATTCAATAATAGATATTATGTTAGAAAAAGTAAAACAAAACCAGAAGAAGAGAATCACTACTGAAAACGGGGACAAAGATTACGCCGAAATAGTAGACGACGGCGACTACTCGACGCCCGCCGGAAAGGATTACGAGTTGTGCCGATTGAGGCTAACGCTGGACGACATCATCGGTGAGGGACAGTTCGGTGACGTGTTTAAGGGCTCCTATCAGACAAAAGACGACCAAATTATAGCGATTGCCGTCAAAACGTGCAAAATCGAGAGCGAAGGCCAAATGGGCGACAAGTTTCTAGAGGAGGCCTACATAATGCAGCAGTTCGAACACCCGCACATCATCAAACTGATCGGGGTGTGTTCCGATTCGCCCATTTGGATCGTCATGGAACTCGCCAAACACGGAGAGATGAGAGCTTTCCTCCAGAACAATAAGCAACGACTCGATTTGGCCACTCTTGTCCTCTACGCCTACCAATTAAGTACTGCTCTCTCGTATTTAGAGAGCAAGAAGTTTGTTCACAGGGATATCGCCGCTCGCAATGTTCTCGTCTCAGCCCATAATTGTGTGAAATTAGCCGACTTTGGCCTTTCGCGATGGGTTGACGACCAGTGTTACTATAAGGCTAGTAAAGGGAAATTGCCGGTAAATAATTTGAGTGAAACACACATTTTTGTGCGCTTCTAATGTTTGTATTTCATACGTACGTAACCATAGATCAAATGGATGGCTCCCGAATCGATTAACTTTCGCCGCTTTACCACTTCATCCGATGTCTGGATGTTTGCCGTGTGTTTGTGGGAGATATTAATGTTGGGCACAAAACCCTTTCAAGGCGTTAAAAATAATGATGTGATCGGAAAGATTGAGAACGGAGAGCGACTGCCACTCCCTCACAACTGTCCGCCAAGACTTTATAGTCTAATGTCTCAGTGCTGGTCATACGAGCCCTCAAAGAGGCCCTGTTTTAAAGATATTAAACAACTTCTATACGAAGTGTATTTAGAAGAGAAAACTCAATTAGAAAGGCGTGATATTAGGAGAGAAACACAATCAATGTCTTGGAGTTCTTCCGGTTCTGATGAGCCGCCGCCGAAGCCATCGCGACATTTTGTAAACAATTATTCTTCCGATTCTAATCCATCGGTTGAGGCATATATTGTGGCGAAAGACCCGGAGGTATGTAATCAATGAATATATCTTTTAATTTTGTACAATAATTTAACTATAATATGAAATATAGTGTCGCTCCCATTCCCCTCCCTGTCCACCCTTCCCTTCATTGAGTCACTTGAGCTCTAGTTTTGATTACTATCTCCAGAGATAATACAATGTCTTTAATATTAAAACAAAATTAACATAATTTTTAGTGTATTTGAAATATTTAATTATGCAATAAATGAATTAATTAATTGTTAATGAGTTCTTTCACTCCCAAAGATGCCATTAATTGATAAATATTAAAATATGATTTAGTTATTACATAAAAGTTTTATTAACATTTTTATGATATATCTATAAATCTTACACTGTAAGGTGAAATGAACTAATAATTACCCAAAATACTGCTTATGCTTTGCGAATAATTAGACATAGATGGTTAATTAGACGTTGCAAATATATGGGTAATTTTAAATGCTTACATGTGAGTAAATATGAATAGACATAGATTGATAATTAAATGTGAAAAA